TAAGATAAGCGCTACAGGTGTAGACAGCTCTAATGTGAACTGCCGCATACATACAACTATATTCATAGTATATGCATACTTAATTTAAAAAGAAAATAAAATAAGACTCACCCATCGTTTTTACCAGAAACTCATCGTAGTTCATCAAGGGCGGCGTTGTGGCGCCTTGTACGATATCCAGGAAATCCTCCTCGCTATAGACCGAATCATAATCGCTGGGATCGTGCATGGCTTATATTTTATATCTTATAACTTTCGATTAACAAAGGGAAACATATATGTTTGTTATAATTTGAAAGAACCTATCAATTGTTCCTAATAAAACCTCTATTTACTTCTTAAATAACTTTTGATGCCTGAATAAAAACTAACACATACTTTTGGGCATCTCGGAAAATATGACCGATTGTTTGATCACGATCACGGACACTACACTTGCTGGAGTGTTCGTTTAGGTTGTTATCAACACTTTCGCTTTTTTAGAGCATTGAATAGGCAATAGGTAAAACCAAAACTGCATCAGCATGAGCCAAAAGCCGACCTTTAATAGCGCCCACCTGAACCGATAACCGAATGCGCTAAAATATGAAGTACGACTAACGCGACAGTCGCCGAGAGCCTCTAATCAACGGCGAGTAAATAAAATTTCTACGAAGGCTATCATAAGCACAAATGAGAAACGCAATGCAAACGTCTCCCAGCTGATTAGAATACTTATAAACATTTATTTTTTTAATACACAAACGAAACGTTCTATTTGCAAAGAGATCGCTCAGCAAACGCTCTCAACTGTTCACTTAGATGCTATCATAATGTTCCTACAAGTCTGTCTCCCTCTCGCTCTCTCTCTCTCTCTCTCTCTCTCTCTCTCTCTCTCTCTCTCTCTCTCTCTCTCTCTCTATTCACTTGTTTGGGCGAAAGTAAAGGTGGAAGTGTGGGAGAATCCGAACGGCCCGGCCCGGAACGTCGTATCTTATCGCTCCTCTTGAATTCAAACTTGTTTCATGCACGTATCGAAACAAGTAAAGCCCATCAACAGCTTACTGATAGCTCCATTTAAAATTAATTATTGCTCGGCAATATTTGGATTCTCAAAAAGATATTTAAAGAAAACAACAAAGTTTTAGATAAGCGATCATTGTTAATTATGCTGTATGATATAGTGATCCGGCCCAGCCAATTTAAACTCATAAACTGCCTGAATAAAAAAACAGACCTATGTCAGGAAATGTATGAAAAACTTATTGTCTATTAACTTCAAATTAAAGCCTATATTTTATAAACTAAGAGATGAACATGCGAGTCGATATACCCATGTCTATATGTCCGAAGTCTCTCAGTTTTAAAGATATCAGCTGGATCAGACCCCTATATCATATAGCTGCCATAGGAACGATCGGTCGAAAAGTAGGTTCCCATATGAACAACTTTTTTGTTTATCAAGATAACCTGACCAAACTCGGAACTTATTAGTTTTACTTTGCTCCTCATATATATGCAAAGTCCTAACAACATCGGAGCACTATGTCATATAGCTGCCATAGGAACGATCGGTCGAAGATTAAGTTGTTGTATGGAAACCTTTTTGGTTTTTCAAGATAAATTAAACAAGCTCGCCATTTATAAGTTTAACCATGTTCCCAATCTTACATCGGACCACTATATATATCTGTCATATAAGTTCTATGAAAAACTTTTTGTTTTTCAAGATATCTTAACCATAGTCTATTTTCCCTTTGCTTCTTTGATACGGGCAAAGCACTATGAGCATTATGAAAAGGTTGGGTTTGCAAGAGTATTAGAAGTTCGGCGTGCCGAAGATAGCGCTTCTTTATCGTTTTTGTTTGTTTTGAAACCCTTTTTTGTTGAGTAAAACAATGTTATTGTTTTTAAAACAGCACACCAAAGAAATAGCTTCATTGGAATGTTCAAAATTGTATTTAAGTTTTTGTTGCATTTCAATCTATATTCATATACACATAGAATTTAGTTATTTATTTAAATTTGTTTTTTTTTTCAATATACGATATAATGTTTTGTCCGTTTGCAATTGGATTCAAGTTTTGTTTTAATTCAATATTTTTGTTTATTTATTTTTTTTTTTGTGTGATTTTTGAAGAGTACTTAACTCTTGTTTGCTGCAATAGTTTTGCTAAGACTTTCAGATATGTTTATTGGTAATTCTTATAGAGATACTCTATGCATGGGTGCAACTATTTCATGCTGTGGTAAATGGAAAGGGAAAATATCAAATTTGTTGTTTGTTTTTTTTTTGTAATTTGCGGACTGCTTTGTAGAATTGTTTCAGCATTTTAATTTGTTTTGGGTCAGTTTTGGGCTTAAAACACTGAATCAAGTTACAAAGACGGTTAAGAAAATATTAAAATAAAAAAGAAAAACAAATTAAAAAGAATTCAAACTAAAGTCAAGTTAAGATTATTTAAAGGGAATTTGTTTGGTATAGGTTTATGTTTAAGCTTGTTTTTTCTTTTCGTAAATATATTTTGTGTCTTTTGTTTCACTTTGGTTTTCTTCGTACGCATATTAAATATGTTTTCATTAGTTTATTGATATGTAGCATATTTGCTTAATTTTAGACTTTAATCCGTTTTCTATTTCATTTACGTTGTATATTTCTCTTCTTCTTCATTTTTTTTTTTTTTTAGCGTTTTTAAACATCGATAGCGAATTCGCTGATATGTATGTGATATAGTTTTGTGGCTTACTTATAATATCGTATATATAGTAGTACTAGGTTTGTATAATAAATATTAAAATTGTTCAAAAATATGCACAAAGAAACGCATAATTGTTGCAAAATTGCAAAGATATGTGTATGCTAGGAGTTTTGATAGGCTTCGAGTAAACGATATATAAAAGTGTTGAATCATTAGTTATATATAACAATAAATATGCCAAATGCTATAATTGTATTCATAAAAAATAATCAAATTATCACTTGTAGTATTTATTTATATATTTATTTTTTTTTTTTTTTTTTGGTTTTTTTTCTTTGACTTGTTCGCGTTCTACGTCCATTTGCATCCATATGAAATATGTAGCTTGTCTCTTTATTTACACGGGCATATACACATGTATACATACATACACATTTATAAGTGATATGTATGTGTTCATACTAATATTACTGTTGCTTGTTCATATACTTAGGCATATACATAATATACGTATTTTATTTATATATATATATAAATATATATATATATATATATATATATATAGTTCAATGGATCTGTTATTTATTTATCTTCTTTTAATACCACTCTTAATTGAATCTTTGAATCAGGTTTCTATATATTGTGTACACATAAGTACTTCTTTTCAAGCATTTAAATAGACAATTAGCAAATAAAATTGTTTACGAATTATTTCGTTTTAAGATTTGGTTTTTCTAGCAATAGTTGGTTTAATACGCGTTTCTACCAGCTAATTCAAGGTACTTATAACTCCATTATTAAGTGTTTTTTTTTTTTGTTTTTTTTTTTCTATTTTGTATTAGTTTTCTTTTAGCTATCTGCTTGCCTTTCGTGCATGATGCGACATTAAAACGTTGGGTTCGATACTTGATTTGAGTTGGACTGAGACTGAAATACCTTAGAGCACACCTTGCGTATGGCATGTGCTTAGTTACTTTCACTGCGTATTAACAATTCCGTGCTCTTTCATCTCATATTAACCCGAAGGGGCCTAGACATAAGCTATGTGGGTGGATTTCATTTTCTTTCGTATTAGACAAAGATGACATTTAGATTAAGGCTAAATATAGTTTTAGAAGCCAATTTTGTTCTTGGTTTTCTAGATACCATTGTTATATCTTTTATCATATCGGTTTGAGGGTCAGTTTTTAAGTCATGAACAAAATTGGCTGCTAAAAATTGTAATCTCATGAGCTTCATTTTGGTTACTATACTTTTTATATATATTTATTTCATTTAATTGATTAATTAATTGATAGACAGGTCTTGTGCTAAAATGTTTAATAAGCTAACACACATTTTTCCTCATTTTAAGCAAGTTTAATATTGTGATAAGTATGTTTATTTATTTACCAGTTGTTTAACTAGTTTCCAAACATTTAAACATTTATAAATTATGCAACTCGACAATTGTTCTTTCAGCTATTGCATTGTGTACAGTAGCCCGACATTTGCGATTATTTATCTTACTATAATAATAAATATATATGCGTATATATGTATTTCGCATAGTTGCAAATTGAAACATTGAATGCTTGTCTACACGTCTTCAATTGAACAACAATAGCTGCAGGGCTTGCTAGTGGTTTATACTCTAAGCTCTAGACGATATGTCCCAATAGTTATATATACTATATAAAGAGACATAAATGTGTGTGTGTATATAGAAAAGAATTTTCAAAAAGTTAAACGTACTCTTGTGGGGTCGATATTAAGCATTATTTCTTGGAAGGTTCTGTACTGATAGCCTTGGTTTCTTTGCCGCTGAAACGTACAATTTTTGATAGGATTTCTGCTTTGAGTGAATACCTTGAGTGTGTTTTTTGGGTATTGAAACTAGAGTTGTTGTGAGGCCTCTTGAAACACTTACAAATACACATATAAGAAAGATATCATTTTATAAATATTAATGTTTTCTTTTTCAAATTTTTTTTTTTTTTTTGTATTTCCTTTTTTTTTCTCTGTTTTCTTTTGCCGAACGATCCCGCTTCTACATTTTGCTTTTACTTTTTCGTGAATTATTTTTGTAATGTTTTCAATTGTCTTGAAAATTGTATTTAGTTACTGAAAGATGCGCGTTAATTTTCTCAAAATTTGACGAAGTTTTCCAACACAAACGAACTAAGAGCTAAGAATGCAGACCGATTGAAAGAGCGCAGAAGAATTGGGAGAAAGTTCTTGATATAGTAGAGAAGCCGATTAATCGTCATTTTTGTATATTTTTGCAATTGACCAATATATTTTTGCAGAGTAGCGTTTTTTTGTTCTTTTGTAATATTTTTCATTTTTTTTTTTATTTTTGTGGTTTTTTTTTTTCTAAAAAAGATGTTTGAAAATTGAAAGCAAATCAAGCGTTGGACGGGCAAGAAACAGCATAAAACTAAGGAGTTTATTTGGAAAACCAATAGACAACTGCGAAAGTTTTGAGAAAATATTAGATGTACGAGTGTGTTCGTGTCTGGAATTGTGTCTGTTTAATAGTGTGTATCGGTTTATATTGTTGAATGTAAAGATTTGCTGCAACACCTTTCTAATAATTGTAATTATCATAGGGCGTGCCCAGATATGAATAGAAATTAGGATTGATGGGCTGTGCGTGTGCATAATAAAATCCAGAAGCCGGATCCGGCGCTACTCAGTCAAGGAAACCGGTGTTGACCAATTTCTCCAAAAAGAACTTCACATCACCCAGTTCCGAGTCCTTGATGCCAAGCGACTTCAACATGCCAAGATCGCCATTCTCCACAGCCATAAAAACTGAACGTAAATGCTCCAAGTCAGATCTGCAAAAAATGAATATTCAAATGTACCTCTTTTCTATTTTAATCAAAATAAACAAAGATAGTATTAAGTATATCGAGATAACTTCTCGTAAACGTAGTAATCGGGTTATATCCTGCTCATGCTGATAAAAGCAAGTGCTAAAGCTTATATAAATATTGTCGAGTTTGTGTAAGATCTTTTACATTTACATTTTGTTTCAACTGTTTCACACTTCCTCTCTAGAAGGAAGGGACGCTCAATGGAAAAACCACAATTGACTGTGGGCATTTTCAAATCTACCGAACACCTGAATAAAAGTTTAAGGCATATCGGACTTGCTTACAAAAATGCCTTATTTAAACGTCCGATTTGGATGCTTTGTTTAAAATTGCATTCCTAAAGGAAATAATGGCAGCTCTGCTTCTTGAATAACTTTTTTTGTCCCAACTTCATGGGAATTTGTAGGGCATAAATATTCCATCGAAATGTGTGCATAAACAAGAAACGAAAGACTTTTTATTTTAAAATGGAAGATTTGCAGTTTTTGCTGTTGGAAGTGAAGTGAAGTATTTATTTACCGGCAAACCCCTGTAATGTCTGGCCTAAGTTGTTTGCTTCGAATATGTCTATAATTTAAAATGAGTTTGCAATCCGAAAGTTCGTATCTATATTTTCAGCCCACTTCAGTTCTGTGGTGTGAATTTCAAAAAATGTTGAACTTTTACCAAGAGAAGCCTTGAAAGCCTCAAGCATGAAGCTGAAATATTAAGAACAACTTTTGATTCCCCTTTTACACCCAGCAGTGGTGGTTCTGGTGAAACGCGTCTCATAAAAGTCCTTGGAAAGGACGTCTCATAAAAGTCCTAAACAAATGTCCAACCAGGATGGGCTTGATTTTGCGAAATGGTGTGCAACAATACTCAAATGAATTTTCGCAAAGATCTTTAAAGATTCAATTTGTTTTATTATCCCTAAGAACCTTCTGATCCAAGCCAAATACTGCGGAATAAGGTATAAAGAACTTTGAGTCAAACATGTTCAAAACCTCATCTTCTCTTACTTCAAATGAGCTTACTGTCAGTCAGGACGAACAGTTTTTTTTATATAGATGAACTAGTACGTTGCCTTCGATAATTAATTGACATTCAAACTAATGCTTCTCTATCGGACAGGTATAGCTTGAATGAATACAAAATTTAAAGAAATCCATTGAAAATGTAATTACTTAATTACTTGATGTTGAACTACATCCGGCCCGAGCTCATATCCCACCCGTTCGCAAGCACTCCAAGCTTTCGGTTTGGGCACGATTAATTGAGTTGATGAAATTTTGTAAGTACCAGCAAACGAGGAGAAGCAGCCGCACAGAGAGCAGGTCTGCTAGTTAGGCTCGAGAGTTGTTGCCAATTAATCAGCCTTTTTGTCGGGGGTCTTTATGGGTCTAGCTTGTCCACAATTAGCTACACTTCAGTTAATTGTACGACCGAGCGACTGCCATTTTTGGGCAAATCTCATTGCTATTGCTGCCGTTTTGTGGTCAGTTTTTATTATTCTAATTTCATGAAAATTTCCCCCAATGGCTGCTACGGCCGTTATGTAACAGGCAGAAGGAGTATTTGCTAGCATATATATCATTTACATTTATATATTATCTATATATTCATGGTCGGCCGTTAGAGCTAGAGATACCAAAAAGATACAAATGCAGAATATTTCATTTATTAAAATTTATCCAGTTCCAGGTTTTGGTTGTAAATTCCTAGCTCTTAGTATTTGCACACATTTGAATGTCATATTTAAGCTTTAAAATTTTCATTAACATCGGACAAAAAGCACCGAAGCAAATCAAGTAAGCATTTTTGCATCGTAGCCTGGGAATCTTCAAGTCGGGCACACCCGACTACATCGCTCATACTTGTTATTTTTCTGCATTTGCTAAATAGTCCCTTATACAAACAACGGCCCATGCATGTGGAAATATGCAAACTTTAAGTAAGCATAAGCTTAATTATAAGAGATTGTGTTGTTCTAAAGGCTCGCACACCAGATACCTTGGTATTTAAATTTAGTCAAAAACACGAATATGGGAAGCCTTCCCATATTATATATATATATAAATGTTCTTCTCTCCATAACTATATTGGCACGACATTCTTCCACCCTTCTTAAACATTTTTATGAGCACAGGGTATAATGTAGGGATTAACTCCTTAAAGCCCGTGTGCAAAAACTGTCAACCATAGAAAAAAGTATTCAAATAAAGAACAGACACAGACAAAAAGCAAACAAGCAAAAAGGGTAACCATACGATATTTTAAAATTTCATAACTTGTTTGTGGTGGAGCGCAGAGAACTATAAAAGCGGTGTAAAGGACACACGTATATTTCAAGAGAATCGCCAAGGACGCTGCTGGATATGTTGTACAAAACACCAGACCTGGCCAGTGGGACAGGACTGGGGTGCACACGAACAGAAGAAGCGGAGCCTTGCCATTGTAAAGCAGCAGAGGGAAAAACTACCAAAAGTTAAAATAGCTTTGGGGTTGTGTTAAGTTTATTTAAGAGCTTTCATTATTTATATGGGATGTTCTGCTACTGGAGGCACTAAATTAAAATTCTTCCACATCTACCAAAGGGTTCCAGATAACAAACTAAGCGCATGAATAGCGCCCCGAGCATTGCGAAGGGACTCAAGTTTCTGACCATACCTCATTAGGTGCAATGCGGCTCCGAAGTCCTCAATCGTTTGCGATTCGCTCAAAGCGATGGCCACCTTTTCCACACCACCCAACGGGGAGAGGGCATCACGTGCCTTGCTGCCAAAAAGTTTCTCCAGATAATTGGGTCCATGTGAGGCGATTAGGCTCTGCAAAAATGATGCAGTCTCTTCGACAGGTGGGCGTTTGGCTGCAAATAGAAATAAAGGCAAGAACATTTTACAAATTGCTTATAATTAACCCAAGGCACATGTTGGGTGTTAAGTGGCAACAGGAGGGTCATAACACTCATATCTCACGAGACTAGTTGCATCCGTTAGGCTCATGCTGTTAAAAGAGAGTGTGAGAGTGACAGACCGAAATAGAAAGAGAGAGAGAGAGAAGTAGAGATAGAAGCATTGACATCCTTTCAATTTGAATTTTGTCCATTAATTTTAATGCTACAACAACAGCATATCAGCATTAATTAATCGCATGGCTTTTTTCATACCAGCTCCTGCATAGTCCAGTAATGTAATCAACATTATAATCAATTATTCAATATTAATAATAATTGCAAAATTAATGGCACATGAAGAACTCATGTTAAATTATTATAGAACACGTTCTGGCTTTTAATAAAATTGTTGTTCCTGACTGATTAACTCCTGATTGCACTATTCGATATCAATTTAAAAAAACTGCTTTTTAAAATGTACAGATCTACTTCATGGTGTAAAAATGCTGGTTCAACAGTTTAATGAGTGGAAAAGTTTTTGTTACAGTTTGAATATGAAAACTTGGCCCGAGCGAGAACGGTTAATATGCTCTTATGCCAAACGCAAAGTAAGCTAACTTCTTCCCTAACTTATATTTACGTATTTTTAAAAATTGCCTTACTATGCGATTCTCATGATTTACATATTTTCATAGTTTGTTTAAGAGTATTAAATAGTGTTGGTAAATTAATTAACTTTATCTCTGATAATATTTTTACTCTTATTAACTTATTATCAATCTCTTTTATGTACACGTATTTCCTAGTCAAGACCAAATAGAAAAAGACTTCCATGTCATAATGAAATACGGAAACTATCAGTCAAAATTTATTATTTATTTGATTCAAATACAAAGTTAATACTTTTCACATGTGGCCAGTTTCGAAATAATTATATTGATAATGATGATAAGACGAGTTAACCAAAAACATTCATTATAAAGTAAATAATATATAATAATATAAATACAGTTTTTAATGTGTATTGTTCAGTTAATTTAAAGCTGGCTTGTACATGATTAATAACTGTTTTATCAGGAAAGATTTAGTGTGTTCTTCAATAAAACTTCTTGTTACATGAATTTCAATCCTTTAGCTCAAATCATATTAAAATACAAACAAGGCCACTATTTTCGCTGTTTTGTATATGAAGAAAAGATAAAAATTACCCGGAGTCGCCCGGGGCAAATGAAAAATGTTCAACGAAATAGTTTGTGTAATTCGCGCCAAATTGAGGCAAACACCTTGCCAACACGCGTCAAGGTGTTGTAGTAACAGATAAAACAATGAAATATACAAATTGACTATGGCTGCTGCATTTGAGCCAGCGACCACTCGCTCGTTAGTCCGATGCTCAGAAACATGCTCATGACGTCAAAGTTACAAGGCATAATTATAAAGCTGCCTTGCTTTAAAATGCTTGGAAGTGGACTCTAACCCAAAGTGCAGCTACTGTAAGCATTTAATCGTAGGTCCTTTAAACTTTTTTATATGTATTGATTGCTCGTTTATTTCATTATTAAGCAAATGACACACGCTTTCAGAAAGAGACTTGTAATTGTTGCTAGTGGAAAGCTCTTTAAATATTTAACTGAAGTCCCGCAGAAATCAATTTAATATTAATTTCCCAATTTTAAGAACGTTTCTTTCAATTTATTTTAAATTGATCTATTTATAAGTATAAAAGGTTGCTAGAACTTTTGTCTTTTATTGTATTTCTATTGCCTTTTTTTTTGTTTTTTTGTTTTGGACAAATTGCTGACAATTTTAGGTAAGTCAGTTACTCTGTCAGTCCATCAAAGAATGGTTAAGTTTGCGGCGCTCGTTGTCGGCTTTTACCCCACCGGCTGCACTTTTGAGACTCGGTGAGTGTCCCTTATGTACATATACCGACGCTTGTTGGCATTTTTAATGGCTGCAAGGACACGGTAGTCGATGGATCTGTAGCAAGTGGGTGTATATATGTGTGTGTGTGTGTGTGTGTGTGTGTGTGTGAGTTGATTCAGTTACTGGCTGTATTTGTTATGCAAATGGCGCAGTTTGCCAGTTTTTTTTTTTTTCTATTTTTTTGTGCTCTTTTGTTGTGCTGTTGGCATCTATGTGAGACCCAGTGCATGTATGGTCAGGATATATCGCCTGGGAACGCCACAGTTTTACATGCCCCGAGCTTAATGTGTGTGTGTGCATGTGTGTGTCGCCTGTTTGCCTTTAACTTGTTACATATTCAGGCGATGTATATCAGCAGTTAAGATAAGGCCAACTAACATTTGCAGGCTCTTTGGTCGCTGGCCCTGCAGCACTTGCAGCACTTCATGGGAAACGCCAATGTTAACTTTTAGCTGTTGTTAAAATGTATGTAAATTTATGTTAATTTCCCTGGGGTATTCAAGTGCAGCGCAATCAACTTATTTTTTAAATATTTATTGCAGTTTTACTCCTTTTTATTGAGAAATGGAATACGTTTGTTTCCCTTTTATATGTATAAAATGTTTATTATTTATTTAATTTTATATTTTATTTTACTTTCTATTAACTTTTTGTATTATTTTACCTTGTGCAGACAGCTTTCGGTTAACAATTTAAGCTACTCGATACATTTTAATTGAATTCTCAAACGGAAATGGAATTAATTAGGCTCTTATTTTGCGCCCTCTGGTCATGATCTCAGTTAAGTATTTCTAAGCCACAAAGATTAATTAATTATTATTCATTTACTAGCACATTTAACATTTGTTTTCAGCATTCGGCCCCACCTGATGAGAAAAGCCACTCTCTATGGCACTTTATGCCATTGTACAATGCAGCAACAATTGGCTGAGGCGGAAGCAAGTCAAAGGAAGCCGCAGGACTGCTCCCAGGCACAAAAAAAAAAAAAAAACGGACTGAAGGCAACTTGAGCCTGCCATTTAGCCCCACACACTAGCTGGTCAGGGGGAACCATATTGGGTGGGGCGCATAATTTATCAAAGACATTTGAGCCAGGCGCTATAACTTGCGCGCACATTAGACCCAGATCGAGACCGAGACCGAGACCGACACTTCCTAAATGATTTCATTGTCGAAAATAGTTTATTCTTTTCTTTTTTTTTGTCTTTTCCTTTTGGTTTTTGTTGTAGAATAACAATGGTGCACGGAAAATATACGCCACAATGCGCCCGACTTTGCCCTGCGGCCTCTGCGTGTCCCGGCAACGGAGTCTAGCGAAGGCGAAGGCCCACAGCAACTGGAAGCGTCTGTCCTGCCTGGCCCGCCTGCTGGCGACTTTCAGGTTTCAGTCAAGTGAATTGCGGCAATTAGTGGCAACAATTTTCTGTTTACTTAAAGTTTCGCTGCCAGCGCCGTGGCCGCTTGTTTGCCCAGCAGTCGGTGCCCCCAAAAAATTAAGCACCGAATTTTCGCCATTGTTTGCTCAACCACAGTGCGTAATTTCTTTAGATATATTCTTACTTATTCAACTAGTTTATGTGCCAAAAATTGTATTTATCACCCAGCAACAATAATTCGTCGGGCTTTGCACAATATTTATTACGAGATTTGCATCGGCAGCCTGAATATCAAATTCAATTATATTTCCTTTAATTATTGCGCAATTTGTTTAATTATTTTGTTGATTGTTCGCCTTTGTTTTGCCTGGTCATAAATGCAATCAATTCTACAAGGGAGTTTTATATATATATAAAAAACATAAAAACCCTGCCACCGCAAGGCCGGGTAATACACGCGACTCTGCAATTAAAACAACAACAAACAAACTTATTTTTAAGTATTGCTCTACTATGCGATTCTCATGAATATAATAAATGAAATGTATTTGGATAATATAAAAGCATAGAGTTGATTTAGATATTGTTGCATTTAATGTGTCAAGGCATACAAGAAACATGGCTGCTTCAATTGAAAGTGGAGTAGCTTGTGCTGGATTTCCAATTATTTTATTAGCTTGGCTCTAAGCCAAGCATCAGTTCTTGTCAAAGTTTTGTAGCATATTTTACACGTTCAATTCTCACCAGGAAGCTGGACTGTTCGAATGGACAAGTAAATGGAAACTTTCTGATTCGCTGGTAAACTTTGCAGCTATGTGGCTAATTTGATTAGATTCAAGCGAGCAGCAAACCAAAAATAGAATAACAAGTTGTGCACAAATCTTTGAAAGTGCAACAGCATGCTTTATAAGTTCCATACAGTGGCCAGTTGCCAGTTGCCAGAGATGAATGGGACCGAATACGTGTACCGCTTGGCCTTTGACTCATGTGCAGCTGCCCTTGATATGACACAGACAGTTGAAAATACGTACACACATATACAAACGCATACACAGGGCCTAATTGAAATACGGCCTTTAATTTCCTGCTGGTTTCTTGACAGAAGCATTTGACAACTCCAGTCGGAACCATGCTGCTCAGCCATGAGTGCAATATTCTGATGGGCCTTTGGCAAATTGGATTGTGGCTTGTGACTGGCAGCCACAAATCAAAATTGCACCATTTCTTGGCATTGATTTTGCTTGAAAATCAATGGATCTAACCAAATTATTTATGGCCAGACAGATGGCCAACAGTTTGCATACAATTAAAGCCAACTCTGACGCTGGCGCTGGCTCTGGCTAACTGGTCATTGCAGGCAGCTACAATTGAAAGCCAGAAGTAATTTCGACCCAATGTCTCTGGGACTTACCCGCAGTGCAAAGACGCATGTCCTCGTCGTAGCCGTCGGAGCAATCGGGCGCACCATCGCATAAATATTGTATGGAAATGCAATTACCGTCGCCGGGGCACTTGAAAGGCTCGTACGGATGGCAGGCATCTGCAAGAAAATAGCAAAGGGAAAAACATCATGAATAACGCTTTAAGCTTTAATCGGCAAATATAATTTCAATTCTAAACTTTGTCTTAAAACAACCAAATGGGTTGTAAGGACTTCAATGGGATCATTTACTTTTCTATTAAAGTCAATTCTAAGCTATTCAATGCGGTAACAAGTGTGTATATTAATGGAAATTGACTAAAAATAAATAAGCTGACTTAATTATATAGTTTTGACTATTATTATTTGGATTTGCTTAAAGTAATTTATCAATTGAAGGTTGTTCAACAATATTCTTTTCGATGTTCGTTTCATAATTTCTAAGAAATATATGTAAAAATAAAACAATAAAGAAATATATTCAAATTGATCAACATATTTAGATGCATATGTACATTTTTATTTATTTATTTGAGCATGACTCTGCTCGCCAGGCAAACACACGACCAGACCACATATTTTATTGCTTTGCAGAGACATATTTACATATCTGTATGTTTATTATATAGAACACCTGAACCAAGTGAACACCATTCACCCCTTTAACAGCCTCTGTGAGAGCTATATATGACAAAATAAAAGGCAAGGACTAAAATATGCTGGCATTAAAGTCGACTTTAAGCTGATAAAGCGTATTTATATTATTGTTTGTTTGTTTTATACTTTACATCAGGGAATTACAGCTACACCACATTATTTATATATGTTAAACATGTGCAATTGTGCGCTGGTTTCAGGATTTATCTCGAAAGCCGTAATATTAAACATATTTGATGTAAAACATTTAACTAGACAAAATAGCCGAATTGTAAACGAAGAAAAAGTAAGTCAATTTAAGTGCAAGTCCCTTAAGTCTTGCCCTCAAGCCAATAAGGTGCTAGCTATCAAAAATATAATTGCAGTTGTAGCTTCAATTTCTTTTCTCTACTTTGCGTGCTATCCATTTTTCCAAAGAGTCCGACAGTTTATTACCAGCAACCTTTAGTTGCATAAATTTGCATTGCAAAGGCAATTTCAACAAGTTGGATTTATATAGACTCCTCGAAAGCTGGAAAAGAACAAGAGAAGAAAGCGCAACAACAAATTGGAGGACAGCAATGGAGTACCGAAGATTTAATACCCAAGCAGAAATATTAAGGTCGTTCGCTGATCTACATGATCTAAGAAAATTGTTAAGAGCATTTAGCTCCATATATAAAATGGTATGTATAACATTTTCTCGAAAGTATATTTCGTCCATTTCAGTTATGTGTTTTATTTTTAACTTCTCAGATCACAAGTGCCTTTACAAGTAAATATTTAAACCTCGAGTAGATAATTTGAATATAAAACTCTCAAGTTTCCTAGCTGGCACAAACAAAAACTTTAGCTTAAAGCGTTTTGCTAAAGTCGTTTTTTTTTGTTTTCGAAAATGGAATTAAATTGTTGCTTAAAGAATGTGCTGTTATGGCCACAGGTAATGCTGAGCTTAATATTTTTAAAGCAGCCCTTTTAAAAGAAAACCGCACATAACCGTAAAGCAAATGCGAGGAGCCACAGCAGCCAAATGTCGAAAAGTAAACCTCTTTTGTTGTGCGGCTCTTTTTTTGGCCGCACATTAAATGCAGACAAATGAAAATAAATACATACGTCAGCCAGACGCCACCTACACAAACACGAGCTCGCACACGCACACACACACACACACACACACACACACACACACACACACACACACACACACACACACACACACACACACACACACACACACACACGCACACATCCACATGGCAAACAAACAGCTAACAAAATGGCAAAATGGCGTTGGAAGTGAAAATTGTTCCTAAAAGCCTTGGCAAGCTTTACTCGAAGCCCCAACATACGCCCAATCCGCCACGTGCCTGCCAAAAAGAAAACCAATTTGCGCTCCTGCAAAAAGATCTGGTGAAAATTTACAGTCGCAACACAATGGCAAGCAAGGACCTAAAGAAAACCAAGCAAACAAAACAAAAACATGTGAAAATTAAAATACCAAAAATTTTGAGCGCCGCACACGCATGTTAACAAATGGCCCAGCATATTGGCCATGAAAGCAGTGCAAAAAAAAACAAGTAAGAGTTTCTAGTCGGGAGCTCCCGACTAGGGGATACCCTGAGCCCTCTTCTTCCAACATCAAATGCAGATATATATTCTATTTTAGAAGCTATATGTCAAGTTTGGTGACACTAGCTCTTATTATTTACCAAGATTGCCCAAAAAACAGGATATCGATATAGATTTTTATCGATTGCTTGGAAACGGAGCAAGTTATCGATTATCGGAAACAAACTCGATCTGCGCGGGAACTAGGAGCATCTACATCTAAAATTTCAGGTCTCTAGCTCTATAGGTTCTGAGATCCTTGCGTTCATACATACGGACGGACGGACGGACAGACAGACGGACATGGCTAGATCGACTTGGCTATTGATGCTAATCAAGAATATATATACTTTATGGGGTCGGAGAAGCTTACTTCTGCCTGTTACATACATTTGGATTTTGCACAAATTCAATATACCCTTATACCCATTTTTAATGGGTACAGGGTATAAAAAAAAACAAAAAAATCCAGCACAACAATAAATTCAATTAACTCGCGCCTTGTTTGGGTCTTATTTTGATTTGATTCCCCAGAGAGCTCCCACAGCGGCGCGATTCAAAATGGCGCCTGCCTACGCATCAGCGGCTAATGCGCACTTAACGGGATTTTACGAGCAGTGGAAATTAGTGCTCGGCAAAAAACATCATTTTAAATATGAAAATAAATTAATTGCCTTGATTTTCTGTTAATGGTTTTTAGCTGTTTTTCGCTTGTCCCATATCTCGTTTGGGGCTAAATACGATTGTATTTTGCAGCTTTTTGCAATTATGTCCATATTTTGATTATTTTATTAGCCAATAATGGGTTTAAAGGGTTTATTAATTGATCTAGCCTGTCTGTCCGACCTCAGGCACTATAATTGATATGTTTATAGACTTAAAACTTACTGATTGACTGACTGAACGATTGACTGACTAACTGATTGACTAACTGACTGATTGATGTTAAAAGCTACGAATCTTATATTTTATATAATGAAAGGGCATGCTGAGATTGTCAATTCATACTGCAAGTGTAGCAATTGCTTGTATCATTTTAGCTTACCATCTGATTGGCTTTAAACATATTGCAAAATATCTAGTTTACTAAAGATATGACCGCGATCATATATTAAAATTGTAAGCTGTCGTCAAACCAGTCAATATTCATATTGTGATCTAAGTGGACACAATATAGGAGCTTAACATGCAATTAGATAAGCTTACTTACTTAGGCTTACTTACAATTAAACGCACATAATTAGTCAATTATAACGATAATTTTTCAATTATAACTGCAACAACTGGCCTGTAATTGGCCCTCTATTGCTCTGGCTTTGTGCTATCTATAACAAAAGCACATTGAAATACGTGCGACACGAAGCCAAATGGTATTCAATTGCTTTATAAAAAGGTTTATTCTTAGCGCAACAAAGCTATTCTGAAGCAGGGCAAAATGAAAATCGCAAAACATGTTTAATGGTGCAACAAAGGATAAATATGTTTCACAGGATTGACATTAAAGCGACTCCAAGCAAGTGCGTTAAAGGATTTGACAGCTTGACAGTAACTGGCACCTTATAGTGGCAAACCATTTGGGCAATTTGGACAGCACCTTTTGGCCTTTCATCCGAGAAATTTTTGCTGCGCACAATTTGGCTGGGATTTTTCCTTACACAGCACGCACAATAAACTAAATATCTTTCACTTGGCCCGTGCTTGTAAAGCACACGTCCAGAACTTGTTTACTTGCTCCAGCAATTGAGTCAAGTGAATTATGGGACTCGGTCCTGCACCCTGCCTTACGGCTTGTCAATTATCCTGGCCCGCTGGGCACATAAATTCCAATTGTTCTAACATCAAATAGTAATGAATTGCTCGCGGCTGACTTACAAAGTGTTTTATATTTTTATTTTTTTTCTTTTGGATTTTCGATATTTACGCACAATGCCAACGCAACTAAATTAAGTAGTCTGGCGCGTGCAACGTGTCGTATGTGTGATATTCATGTTTTTCCAAGCTTGTTGCCAAGTGCTCGACGAGCATGAAAATATAGACCTTATCGCTTGATTTAGCAGCTGTGAATTGGTATTTTTCTGCTAAGCTACTCGGTTAAGAGGCTCTGCGTACTTTATGAGAAGTTTTAAAATGTAGGACATCTCAGTTATTTAATCTAAGCTCTTCGCAATTGAAAGGAGGACGGTTTAAGATATTTTAAAGCATTTATTTGTCTATCGTGCACATATGCCACTCGGCATTGTAATTCAGTGGCAATTTATTGTTTGAGCTGATAGGACTTAACATTTTTTACCCACTTTCAAAGCTCATTTGCCAATTTCAAGCTTATGCTGAATAAAAGTTAGCTAAAGCTTCATTGTCTAACATTCAATTTTAGTCCATTTGCATGGCTTTCACTAGCATTTAATATTTTGTGTTTACTTAAGAGTCCTCAAATCAAGTGCCATATTTGTGGTTCTTTCAAATGACAACAAGTGCGCACAGAAGTAGGCAACATATAAATGAAACATGTGATGCAGTTGCGTTAAGCTTTCTGGCCACAGACAGACAAGGGGTACATTTGTGAGATCTGGCATAAAGTAAGCACACACCTGACAAGAGCTCATAAAAGCAAGAAAATCGACTGTGGTTAGCCTCGGCACGAAATACTTTTCATAAAACACATCAGACACGGAGGCCAAAGAGTTGATGGTAATGAAAATGAAGATAAGGCTGGGGCTTCGTCCGCTGACGTGAATTGTGTGTATGTCGTGTGTGGCAAACTTAATGAATGTTGCATAAATGTCAACGGCTAAGAAAAAAGAAGACACGCACCTGTGGTCGCCTGTCAGCTGCGTCATGATGTTACGAATATTAAACCTATTCCAAGTATATGTAGC